GCAACAGCCCCACCTTTCTCAGCCTGTCTTCATACGGGAGGTGCTCCAGCCCCCTTATCATCCTCGTGGCCCTCCTCTGGACTTGCTCCAACAGCTCCATGTCCTTTTTATGTTGAGGACACCAGAACTGCACACAGTGCTCCAAAAGGGGTCTCAAAATGTCAGAGTAGAGGGGCAGGATCACCTCCTTTGACCTGCTGGTCACACTTCTTTTGATGCAGCCCAGGATACAGTTGGCTTTCTGGGCTGCGAGCACACACTGAAGCCAGCTCATGTCAAGCTTCTCCTCAATCACCACCCCCAAGTCCTTCTCCGCGGGGCTGCTCTGAATCTCTTTTCCGTCCCTGTAGCTGTGCCTGGGGTTGCCCTGACCCAGGTGTAGGACCTTGCACTTGGCTTGGTTAAACTTCACGAGGTTGTCATCAGCCCACCTCACAAGCATGTCAAGGTCCCTCTGGATGACATCCCTTCCCTCCAGCGTATCAAGCAAGCCACACAGCTCGGTGTTATTGGCAAACTTGCTGAGGGTGCACTCAATCCCACTGTCCATGTCACCATCAAAGATGTTGAACAAGACAGGTCCCAACACCAATCCCTGAGGGACACCACTCGTTACTGTTTTCCAACTGGACAATTTACCACAGCTCTTTGCGTGCGGCCATCCAGGCAATTCTTTATCCACCAGGTGGTCCATCTATAAAATTGATGTCTCTCCAGTTTAGAGACAAGGATGTCATGCGGGAAATTATATTAGATGAACTTTTTATTGTCCCTTTATTACTTCTTTTACCATTTATAGGTTGCTGTAGGATTTTGCTCATGAAAGGTGCATCAGCCATCTTTGCAATATGAGAATCCAGGAGGTACTGTTGTAATCCTATTACCTCTCTTGTGCCTTTCTTCCAGTGTAACAGGTCTGCCTCCTTGGTTGTTGGAGAAATATCAGAGTTCCCAGTTCCAAGCTGAAAGCATTGTGAATTCAGAAACAATTTTTTTTTATTTCTTTAAGTAAATTTCTATCTTTGCTTGGTGAATACTGTTGATATTTTTTTTTTGTTCAGAGTTTGACAGGTGGAAAGAATGGAGGTGTTCACTGTACAGATGTAACCAATGCCAGCAGAACAATGCTGTTCAACATTCATTCCTTGGAATGGGATCCTGAGCTCTGCCAGTAAGCTCAGTTTTTCAGTAACACTGTTATTTAAATAGATTCTGTAAGTGTTGAATGAAGAGGTTAATTTAAGAGTAAGAATCTCTTATCTAGACTAAGATCAGCAGTTAGTGTTGTATTTGCTGTTAGTAAATGACATTAGTAGTTAAGATTCATTGTTCTCCAGATGTCCAAATTGCAACAGGCTGGATTAATTAAAAGTAGCAGATTTTTTCTGTAGGTGGAAGACTGGTTAATGGAACAATGGCATTTAATAGTTTCTTTATACCTTAATTAGATTTGTAAGTAAGTCACAATGATAGTGTCTCTGGTTTAAATTTAAATTTATTAACAACAATATTATAAAGATATTGCTGGAAGAGTAATGACTTGCATATGTCTTCAAAATATTCAAATATATGTTGTTTTACTCCTTAATTCAGTGGCATGTACTGTAACAAATGGAAAAACACAGTGATGGATTAAATCTTAGAAGTCAAAGTTCCTTTTATGTTTTTTTTTTCTTTAAAACTTGAACATATTTAAGAAAATAAATGCAAAAAGCTTTCTGATTTAGCACTGACCACATATATATATAAATTATTTTGTATTGTGTTCAGGTTCTTTGATATTCCTATGGAAATACTCCCAAAAGTACGAAGCTCCTCTGAGATTTATGGCCTGATGGTATGTTTTCTTGTGTTGTGTGAAGTTAATCTTGTAAAAATATGACTATATCAATATAGATTTTTCAGAATTCCCATAGATTAAAACTAAAGTTTTTTTCAAGACCAGTATTGTTCATTTCATGATTAGTGTCCTATTATCTATTGTGTAATATTAAATGAAGTTGAGTATGTCTTGTTTTCTGAGTACCAAATAGACAATACAAGGCAGGAGAGGTTTTTGATAAGGAGAGCTTTTTGATAAGGATAAAAATTTTATTTTTGATTACAGTTACTTACTGATTTAAAAACTACCTTTCAGAATGCAAGGTTTAATCAGTAGATTAAAAGAATGAGATTGTTGTTATTGGAGCAAACTATTTTGACTTCTGAAAATAAATTATGAAAGTCACCATGGAAGTCTTCATGATCTAAGAGGACTGGACAAGATGTGTGATGTCTTATTTCCACATAACCAATGGCAAGATTAGTCAGTTTTTGTGAACTGGAAAATCACAAGTGACACCTTAGATGATTGCCTTCTTTTTGAAAAACAAACTTCTCTTGCTGTGTATATTCACATAGCACTCAATCAAAACATAATTTGGAATATGTCTTTTTAATCACACTGCTTTACAGTGCAGCTGTGAATATTAGGAATAAATCATTAATTGTTATCAAGTGAGTGAGGTTTCAAGTTTAGTTTGAGGCAGCACCAACAGTTCTGATGCAGTGGCATATAATTTATTAGTTTCAGAATCAAATAAACTGGATGTTGTGATTTTGCATTCTTTTTCTTGGTAGTTTGTTGTTTACTAAGAACATACAAGAATATACAAGAACATTTTATAATTAAGACAAGTTATGAGAATTTTATTTAAAATATAATTCTACCCTGCCTGACATATATTTTTACTAATCTGTTAATGGAGATGCCACTAGAAGTTTATAATGTTAATAATATGAAGGTAGGATGAGAGTTAGTTGTATTAAGCTGAATGAGTGAGGTAAATGGAAACAGCATGGAAACGTGGCAACTAAAGCACTATTGCTGGTCACTTTAAATGTGAACTTTTGTTTCTCTTCCCCTTTCCTTCCATTTTTTTTTTTCTTTTTCTTCCTTTTGCTGACTGTAGAAAATCTGTCCTAGCCTGGTGAGTAGAGGCTTCCATTAGGCTGATCACCTGCATCTTACCCGTTCTGTTCAGAAGCTGTGCATTTCCATTGGTTTAAGGATTAGTAAAAACACACTTCCTAGACCAGTAAATTTGGCAGGTATTTACAAATTTGAGATACTACAATTAGAGTTCATGCCAAAGTTGTTTCTAAAATATAATCTTGATGTATGTTTTTGCCTTAATTTACAGGCTGTTGATATATCTTTTTATAGTGAAGTAAAAAATACAGCTACTGGCTATCAAATGTCTTGTTTTATAAATGAGAAAAGAGGCCATTCTGCCTACATTCATTCTATTTTAGTGAAATATCAGATTCAGGCAGGGGTTTTTAGTGCATTTATATACTCAGTTACCTAAAACCAGTTAATTAAAAATGAGAATTAATGAAAAAGATTCAGATTGGAAATGCACTTGCATGGCTTCACTGAAAATGGATTTTCACAGTTGCAGAAAGAAACAAGTTAAAGAAAAAAGTAAATTTCTTATGGTATCTGTTGCAAAAATATAGCTAAGAAACTACATGGTAATGTTTGGAAAAGTTCTATATGAGACTTAAAATGCTGTCTTAAGTAAGGCATCTGTCTTTGCTTAGTGTGTCATCACAATCACTTTTATTTCTGTTCACTTTACTATTTTGCACTCTTGCATTTTACACTTGACACCAACTGCACAGATGACACTGAACCTAATTTTCTGTACTCTATGATTTCAACAAAATTTATGTTAAGAACTGTTGAGGTGGCATAAGATAGACCTGTAAATTTCCTGCTGGTTTTTAGTGTTATGAGCTGCATTAAGCTGAAGTCCACTGTATACCCAAACTGTACGATGCTGCTTACATGACCCTTCTTTGTTTTCCTTTGAGTATTAAAAATTTATCTGCTTTTTCATTGCTTTCAGTTGTAATCATGGAAAGCTAATTTGGAGATTTTTTTTCTCTTTTTGTGAATCAGAAATCTGGAGCTTTGACAGGGGTACCGATTTCTGGGGTAAGTCCTACTTCAACTCAGATTCTGGGGTAAGAACCTGTTTCTGCATGAATGTATCTTCACTGGAAAAAGCTTTAAGATGGGGGAACCCTGCTACAAGTTAAGTTGATGTTTTTTTACTTCATGTTAAACATGAACTAAACTTTTGAATTTGAATTATTAATTGACTGGATTCTTCATTATTAAGTTACGGTCTGCCTGTGGAAATACAGCTGACGGCTTTAATGCATATGTGTAGTGCTGTTATAAACTTAGGATCTCTAAGAAAGTGAGTAATATTACAAAACGGAAGCAAGCCCGGCTTATATATAAAAAGAATTCAGTATATGCATAATCCAGAAATGCTGAGCAGATTCTCAGCTTTTTTCAACACAACATGCACAAAGATAGTAAATTTTTATTTTTATTTCTTTAAATTGTTCACCATAAGTAGCATGACACATTTCATTTACAGTTCTTACAAAGGGAAAAGTAGTAAAAAACACAGGTTGTCTTTGTAGATTTTTTTCTCACTTCCAATTGCATGTGTGCTCCTAGTAGATTAAACTGTATCTGTTCATATTCCTTTTTCATGCATGTGATCAACGTTGCAGACGTTTGCTAAAAAAACCCCAAACCTCTCTTTTCAGTGCTTGGGTGACCAATCTGCTGCTCTTGTTGGGCAAATGTGTTTTCAAGATGGGCAGGCAAAAAATACGTAAGTTGTTATTAAAGTAGTAAGATAAACACACTGTTCTGTTTTGAGTTTAGTATTATGTTCTCTTTCAAGCTAACTGCTGAATTGCTTTTGTATTTACCTTATAACTACAGTTCTACCTTGATTCTGTTGACCTACAAAGTAAAGAGCTTCCTGGCTTCTGTATAAAATAGCGGCCATGTGAGTTAGATTGCGTAGACTTGAATGACAAAACCCCATCAGCCTTGCTAGACGGGAAAGGTTCTCAGTTGCAGTCCTTGGTTTTGCTTCTGTGTCTAGCTCAGTGTGGAGAATTTTACATTTGGGTTTTTTGTCTGGGGTTGGTTTTTTTTTTTTTTTCATTATTTCTCAGCCTGTTAGTGTCCCTTGGTTAAAATAGATGGTCAGTTAAATCAGGCAACTGGTGTAGTCAAACATCCATTTGAGGAAAAGCTCTCTGATTAAATGACTTACTGTTCCATTTACAGCCATGTGCTTAACTGAGCATGTAGGTACATACACAGTATGGGACTTTCACAGATTTAATTACACATTAATCTATACTTGTTGCTAATTAACCTTCACCTTATCTTTTATATTTATACACAAATTTAATGGTTAGTGGCCTTGTATTTTGGTAAAACAAATATGGTTCTAAATAATGCCGGCACAAAGTATTTTTGTAAGAAACACTTTCATAATGCAAGACCTTTTGAGAAAAAAAAAAACAACAAAACAAACCAAAACCAGCAGCAACAGAACAAAACCCCACCCATACAGCTAAACAAAAAGGTAAAAGCAAGATTTTGGGTTTTTTTTTTAATCTATTGTTGTTATTGTTTACTGGTTTTCTCTCCAAATACAACTGAAGACTATCTTGGTACTATTTTAAGCTATTAATTTTCAGGGTATTAAAAAGGTAGGGAACTAGTAATTTCTTAGAATAAGTTACAGTGGCTTATAAGTAATTAAATTTTATTAATTTGTGTCCTTATATGTAAGTGTATACAGACATATAAATGATGTGGTCTTTGAATGATGGCAACAAAATTTCTTTAATTTTTCCCTTTAAAAGCTTGAATTTAATATTGTGAAATATTTATTTTATGAAGTAGCTTTTGTAATCATCTTAAACTGAAGTCGGTAAACACTGCCACTAAAGAGGAGTTCACGCTTACGTTTTCAGCTGTACTGATCCTTGATCAAGTATTATTCAAGAAATAGTCAGAGAGAGGTTTGGGACTGGATTTTTCAGCTGCAGACTGCATTTAAATCGACTTTTTGAGGATGATTTTATCATAGTAAACATATGGTAACATAACTGTCAAGAGGCAAAAAGCGGAGTCTTGACTCTACAAAGGGGAGTCACATACTCGTGAATTGCAGTAACAGGTTATCCTTTAAACATTCTGGTTTTAACTTGTCTTTGCTTTCATGCTAGGTATGGAACAGGATGTTTCTTGTTGTGCAATACAGGTCAAAAGGTCAGTTGCATTTTTTAGTTCACTTTTTTTTTTTTTTTACAGTATTTAAGCTCTGGATTACAATTGTGTGTTAGCCTTTCTTATTAAAACAGTTATATTGCTAGAGATAAGGAAAAGTGTATGCTGAAATCTGAAAGAATAGAAAGGAATAATTTATTCAAGGTGTTTCAGTAAGAATCCGTTTCCTAGCTCCTTAAGTTTCCAAAAAGAACTTTTCATAGCAAGTTTCTTACTCTTTCCTTGCACATGTTTCTTAACATCACCCAGAAATGCTGAGTGTTCTTTTACTTAACCACATGCTTTTCTCCTTGTGTTGAGTTTTTTATTTCTTCTATTCATTTTCTCCCATTGTTTCTCTGTAGTTGAATAAATAATGCAAAGCTTTGGCTTCCTTCTCATTCACATCTCCTTCTAAAGAACCCCAATTCTTTATTATGAGGAGGCTAGAAAGATCTAAAGCAGCTTGAAGAAATGAGAGTTAACACCAGTAATCTGAGGGTTCTATCTTAGGTGTTTATTTAGAGTGGCTAATAATGTACATAGTTTAAACCTTCCCTATTTATTTTTTTTATTGAAGGTTTTTTCTCTTGTTTACTATAATTGAATATTTTTATTTAACTATTTTCTGCCTCTGTTCATGCTTTACCTTTTCTTTCCTCCTTCCCCATATAGTCTGTGTTTTCTGAGCATGGTCTTCTAACCACAATAGCTTACAAACTGGGCAGAGACAAACCTGTTTGTTATGCACTAGAGGTAAGTTCAGTAATTTATTCCTGTTTGTTGTGATACATGTTCTGGTTTACTTCTCTGGTATCCTTACATTATCTTCAGTTGCATGGAAATCAAAATAACTTCGTGTTATAGCTTGTGTGCCTCAAGGTTTGTGTGTGGTTTTGGTTAGCCCTATCTCTAATCTGTATCATGCAATCTAATAAAAATATTTCTACATTGCATTACTTATATTTTCAGGGCATGATGGCTAAAACATTTTTTCTGTTACACAGTCTTTCAAATATATAATAAATGTAAATAAACAGAAAAATTTTTATACTAGGAACGGGTTTAAAAAAGAGGGGGAAAAGTACTAGTGTTCCTCTCATAATAAAAGTCACAACTAAGTATCTTTTGTTTTCATTTCATTCTAATGGATCTTACGTGTAACTTTTAAAAATAGAATCAAATTTATGGTGCAAGAAGCCTCTAATTGAGCTTTTTTTACCTACTGAAACTTAAGTGCCTGCTTCCAGAATTTAGTTCCTCAGTTCTCCACACAACCCTGAGGGCATCCAAATCCTGTAGAAAGTTCAATTTTTACTTTAACCTCACAGTTCATTGTTCTAAAGCTCTGCTTCTGTAGCACAGACCAGCTGAGCACCTATTTGCCACAAAAGCTTCATTCGGAATAACAGAATTCTTCCATCTCTGTTGCTTAGTGGGCTTGATCTACTAGTTATTCTCAAAACATGCATACTGTATTCTCGGCTGCTGTTGACCTTTTGTAGAGAGCCTACATTTTCCATGTGAAACAGACAGACACACAGGATTTCCTTTGCTTTGGGAGAGTAGTTTTTGGCTTGCAGTACTTTTCTAAGATGTAGGAGGCTGTGTACCTTTCCTTTTCCTTTCCTAAGGAAAGCTGATCTTGCGTTTGCGTGTTCTGGCAAACTTTGGAGTTTTCATTCTGTGTGGATGTATGAGAGGTTTGTTTTATTTTTAACCCATGTTCTTAAAGCAGTAATTGGAACTCTCCTGAGAGTGATTTGTATTTCTGCATGCTGAAACACATGCATGTGTACTTTGCTTCTTCCTCATCTCCAAGTCTTTAATGTTATTATCTGAAGAAATGGCTTCAACAAAAGATATTAAGCATCTTTTCTCCTGTATCCATGCTAGAATCATCTACAATCTGCTGGTTTAGACACTTTACACTGAGGCAAAAGATGTGGATTCGGCCTTTTCATCAAACCTCTATCTTGTAATAGCTAGCTGGTTAGAAAACACCTCTGCTCCTTCTAGCAGTGGCTTTGAATGAAAATACAGTGCTGCTCCCATTTTACTTGAAGGTTAGTCTAGCAGACTTGAGACTGTCTTGTAGAGAAAACCATTTGGACTTTGGAATGAGATGGGAGGTATGCCATTAATCTATGACATGATAGAGCCATTCAAGGCTGTTTGCTGAGGCAACAGAGCGATTTTGGTGGCAAATGCAAGTACCTACATTTCTGTCTGGGCATTTGTATTTAAGCTCTAGACATAATGAGTCTTGTATTTTCAAATCAAAGCATAAAAATCTTAATTTGTCAGAAAAAGAAGGATGAGGCTACTGGACCTCATACTGGTATATTCAGAAGACCTAAATTAGACAAGAAGTCTGCTTAGGAAATGTCATGGTAACTGCCCCCCGTGGCAAAAATCTTGCAATACACACCATTTACTACATGAAGATTGTGTAACAGGCTGCCACTTTTACATGGCAGTCTCTAGCTGTCAAGAAACTTGTGGTTTGGTGTGAGCATTCTTGGGTGTGCTGTAAGCCTGCAATTGGAGGCCACAGCTACCTTTCCTCTCCCGTTGCTAGTTGTAAAAAGGAACAGGAAGCTATCAGTTGTCATCTCCTAATGTTGTAGTGATTTTGTTTCTTTCAGGGATCTGTTGCAATAGCTGGTGCTGTTGTTCGTTGGCTGAGGGACAATCTAGGTATCCTTAAGACTTCACAGGAAGTTGGTAAGTATTCACAATTTGGAGCTTAAAGTTTTAAGTTCTTAAAGTTTTCTTTTCCAATATCTTGATGTCTGGAATGTTTGCAAAGCTGCCTCTTAAAGGAATTGTGGAGGTCAATAATCTGTTTTGGCTAATAATACAGTAATCCTCTAGCATTTGGATAGCTGATGTTTTCGGCTTGAGCTCAACTGAAACAACCTGGAGTGTGACATTATAGAAACTAGGAATATATCAGACTTTGAAAAAGGAGAGTATGTTGGAAGCACGCAAGTGTAGCAGTTTGGAATGACTAATTTATGAGATTTAGGGTTAAAAAGCAATTAATTACATATTTTTGATTTTGTATCTTATTCAAAGGTGGAAAATTTAGAATTTAAATTTTACATAAAACTTCAAAGATTAAGCAAAAACTTAAAACATCAGTCTATTTTTCTGTAAGAAAGCTTTGCAGACCATACAGAAGAATATAAACTACTGTCACGTGAATTAGCCAGCTGTTGAAACACTACAGTATCTCTTGGCTTTGCAAGTTTGCCTAGACCTTTGGAAGGTTTGAGTTTAAAGAACTTCAATCTTGTCAGTGTTCTTAAAGTCATATGGGACTTCATCATCTCTTCCTGTTTCCCTGAACATATCCTTCCTTCTCCCTTCACTCCTTTTTTTAAGTAGAGTTTGTATGAAAGAACCATTTTAAAAAGAGGTTTTGAATAAGTTTTCCTACTTTTTTTCTCTATTGCTATGTTTCTCTGATCATTGCAAATAGAATAAATTTAAAAAAGCAGAAAAAAACATTTTTCCTTTTTTCTTATAAGAAGGAGCTGCACATTAGCATTACTTCCTTTTTTCAGATCTAGATGTTTTAATGTAATTTTTTTAAATTAAGAATATTTTAATATTGGGGAGTTCAGATATCCAGAGTTATTACTCAGATATTAAGAACCTTCAGATTTCCTTGTAGCTGGCCGTGTGATTAGATACGTAAGCTGAGAATTTAGAACTCTAAATCCATTTGAAATTAATGAGAATTTAGTTCTTAACTCCCTTTGGTCTTGATCCAGTTTCAACTGCTTGCCCTGACTTAGATGCAAGTAAAGTGCGACCTTTTGGACTGCTCTGAAGGTTGTGTTCTTTACCCACATGATACCCTTTGAAAACCTCACAGAATCTACGTCAGAATATTGAGTACACAGTTTTGGTTTTCAGTTTTGATTTTTCATTTTACATCTCTCACGACTCCATATGCCCCATCTTCCATTCATATTGTTACAAATGGAAAATGAGGAGCAGGGTGCCAGAGTTAGTTGCATTTTCTAATTGTATGTAGCTTTATTATTTTTGTAGCTGCCTAACATACTCTGAGTATTTTCCCTATGTAACTAATAACACCTTTAAGTGTCATATTTAAGTGTTGGTACAGTTGCGAAAAGCTAAGTGAAGACTGTTTGTATGTGTGCATTAGAAAAACTGGCCGCAGAAGTGGGGACTTCTTATGGCTGCTACTTTGTGCCAGCATTTTCAGGACTGTATGCACCATACTGGGAACCCAGTGCAAGGGGGTAAGAATCTGACTAAACACTGCATTTGCAGGGAGATTTAATGATTTTACAAATACTATCGCTAGTCCTTCCAGGTATGTGAAATTGTTCTTTTTATTCCTGTGATGTGTCTTGATACATCATTCTCTCTGGTATCTTCAAGCAACTCCTGTGTTTCTCTTGCATTTAACCAGTTCAAAATAGCTGCTGCTACTGGAAGAAAAAGAAGGATTAGCTAGCTCAGCTACTCACCCTCCTCTCCCCCCATGCACAAAAAAACTGGGGAGAGGTGCAGGGAAAACATTTGGACTGGGTTGTGTGTTTTAGAGGACAGGTACAAGATAGTTCTATCATTCTCGCCACTAATGAGGCCAGCTTTTTTTCCTTGCACATTTCTGTTTCTGAAAGGATTTTTATCTCAGTAAAGAGCAAGAGGAGGTCTGCATACCTGTGAACTCTCAGGCAACAAAAGCAGAAAGTGAAGAATTTAGTGTTGATTAGTTTTTTTGAGTTCAGTTTCCCATGGCTGCTGCATTTACTATCACAAATGATACAGGCTATTTAACTCCTCCCCACTTCACCTCTCTCTCATTCTCCTTATGTCCAGCTTTCTTTCCAGTCTGTCAAACACTCTTTTCTCCTCTCCTTCTAGTCCCTTCCCTGGTTGTTAAGACTTAACTAGCTGGTACTAGTTAGAACTACTAGTTCAGACAATTCTATTTGTCTTTTCTGCTATTGTGAGCTTGCCTACTGTTGCTGGAATCACAACATGCCATGGAAGTCACAGTATAACAAATCTAAATATAAAATAACTTTTCTAAAGTGAGGAAAGAAATCTTATAGCATATCAAGTTCTGAGGGTTTAGTGTAGTTGTATCTTTATAATTTAGATGCTTTTTGTACATAAGAAAGAAAAAAAAATCTTTGAGTTAAATTTTTTACAGTTTTTCAGATCACCATGCTTAACTGTTCAACTGTTAAACCTGATCTTTGGAATGACAACTAAAAATGTCCTTTAATATCTTTGAGTTTGTATCTATCCCACACCAAATGTAGCAGCATTTCTGTTTAGTACGCTACTATTCCTCAGACGTTGAAGCAGAATAAAAGGATAATTATTTGCTCCATGGTTCAGGGTACTTTGACAGAATTAGCTTACTTATGGTTAGATTATTTCTATATCCAAAAATCTCTTTGAAGGTGAAAAAGCAGCTAATGATCAGAATAGATCTGAAAACAATTTTAAGCATTTAAAGCACAGCAGTGACCCAGCTGGGCTTTTCCTTAAGAACTGAAAGCACTAGGTAATTTATTAAGATTTTAGTCATAGGTGGTATAATTTTTTAAACAAAAATCAGCAGTGATCATGCATTTCAAGACTAGAATTTGGGGGGGGGGGGGGGAAAAGTGTGTGGGGGGGGGGGTGAATATGCACCCATCTGCATGCAGATTGGCAATAAAATTTTCGTTTATGGCACTTGTATTGATTGGACACTGAATGCATGTTTGTCAGGAAAACAGTGATGAGATTTTAGATTAAAGATAAACAAGCTTGCTAAAATTAAAAAGCAGTGCTCATACAATAGAACTGAATGAGCTTTGAATTAGAAGGCCTTGATCTGAAGTAATGGTGTGTGTCTGGTGAAGAAGTATGTCCTAACTGTTTGGTTGTTGTTTTTTTCTCAACAGTATTATCTGTGGCCTTACTCAGTTTACAAATAAAAACCACATTGCCTTCGCTGCACTAGAGGCGGTTTGCTTTCAAACACGAGAGGTAAAGGCAAATTGGATCCTAAATTCATTATAAATTAGTGTGGTAACAGCGACTGTAGCTCTTAAGGAAGAGAGAGGATTGAAAAGATTTAATGAAGATTAATCGTATGCTTTATATTGTACTTGGATGCTATTCTTCTTTTTACGTGGCACTGATGTTGAAAAATTGTTCTGGGGGCTTAGCTGCAGTGGTGTGGTTGGGTTCTATGCTATTTTGGGGTGGCAATGCTGCTATTTATCGGCACTTAAAATAAGGTGATTGTACTTTGCAAATATTTTGAGAAGCAGAACATAGAAACATTAAAATGACAAGGCCAGTGCCATAATTAAGAAGTCACGTTAGTGTAAAAGACTACATTTTATATTGTTTGCTGTGACGGAGATGGCTTATGTTGCTTCTGGTATACAATAACAAAAATAAGTTAAAGCAAGACAGCAGCAAACATAGGAGTGGAAATCTGTATTCACTTCGTGTCTGTTACAACTTGTATTGCCTTAGCTGGCATTCTGCAACAGCAAACCTAAATTCTCACAGAAGAAATAAATCCTCCAACTGAATCAAAGGAGTTCATATCAGTATGTTCTGAGCATTAGAATCTTTGTATTACCATCTACTATCAATTTACACTCCCTGTATTCCAGTCCAATACAGGATAAAATTAAATCACTTGACCCCAAAGGATGACAGTCAAACCTGAATTTCATTGCATGTTTTTAAACTGCTATTATTTAAACATACTGAGTTTTAAAGTAACACCCGGCTAAAACCGTGTGAGAAGAGGAAAGCAGCTTGCTGTTTCTGTAGTGACACAGAGTAAAAAGTACTTGTGGAAAGAGCCAGAAATTTCACCCAGATGCCTGCTTTTGGAGCTGTGCTAACAACCTCAGAAAGTTGTGCAGGAGTTTGGTGGTAGAAGTCAGGGTAAAGTTACAGGGAACTGTTTGTTGTCTGCTCCTCTCTTTCCTTGTCCCTCCTCTCATCCATTCCCTCTCATGTGACAGCTCAATGAACTTTCCAGCAGAAAATTATCCCTCTTTTTGATGGGCTGTTTTTCTGCTGGATTAGTGATCTCAGCTGCCTCGCAGAGGAGAGTAGCAAACGTCAGAACAAGAGATAGGGCATGTCACTGGGAATAGGAGGGAGGGAATAAACCTGTCTGACTGAGTGAGGGCAACGTTAACTGTTTGAGCAGACCTAATACTTCCTCATACTTTAGTCAATGTGCTTTTATCACAATGACAGGAGTGCCTGAGCAGGTCTCTGGACACATTTAAATTAACAAATCAAGTCCTAGTGACACAGATAAAATATAGGTGCATTTTTTTGAAATATATAGTTAGTTCTGTCTTGTTGGAGACAAAGGGGTTTGTTTTAATTCCAGTTAAAATGGAAGTCCTTTGTAGCCTTGAGGAAAACCCTCAAGTTTCATGTTCGTTGCATTTCTTGCTTGTTTTATTGTGCCATCCAATTCTTCCAAGTCTCTTTTCCTTGTTATCCAGAGAGCTGCTTCCTTGTGCAGACAGATGGCACTTGTTACATTTTTAATTCCAGAATGCATTATGGCAAAACAAGCAATTTTTCAGTTCTAAGAGCTGTACAATGCTGTCATTAGATAAAACTTGCATATCTGGATACCATACTCTTCATCTCACTTCAGTACAATAGAAATAGCAGCAGCATGACTGTGATTTGTTTTGTTGCTTCATTCCTTCCTGATTTCTAGCATTCTTTTTATTTTTTTTTATTTTTTTTTTAATCTATATTGAATGCATTGTATGATTCAACATGCTTTTGCGCAGTGGTAAACAAAGCCAGAGGCTCCAACACTGTATGTATGTAAAGCTGAGATTATGAGGGGCTGACAATGTTTTGAATGTTAAAAAAGGCAGGTGAAATAAGCAGAGGCAAATATAAAATGATACATGTGAAGGAAATAGGTGTCAGGAAGCCATACTAGCTTAGTACTGCCAGCAAACTTTGCTGCTGTGCTGTGAATCGTCTTTTCCAGGTTATTTCCTATGTATTGAACAGTGCAGGCCCATGGACAGATGCCTCCACCATGAAAACTGGCTTTAGTCTTCTGATTTTTAACCATTATTTGTCCTATGGCATTTCTTTTAGTTCCTTTGAAGATCTTCTGGTAAAGGGACCTTGCTAACTTACTCTCTGGAATGGATAGACTCTACTGGTCAACTCATCTCTATACAGTTTTTACTACCTTACAAACCTACCTTTTTTTTTTTCCTTCTTTTTTTAAAAAGAACCATGCTAACTTCTTCCAGTAAGGATTGTTAAATGGGTACTTTGTGAAGTACAGAACAGCACAGAATGCCTTGTAGTTTTGATGGGATTTATGTCTATCTTGCTTTGTCATTTAAAGCTGAGAAAAGCACACCTCTTTTTTTATTCTAATAAATTTAAAGTTACAAGGAGAAAATAATTCTGCGCTAGTTAATGCTTAACTTTGACAACAAAAATTATTCACTAACCTAAAAAAAAAAGTAAACGAGACATTTGACTGCTTTTACAAAACCATAGAAAATCCACTATTTTGCATTTAATAGGTTCTTGTAGGATAATGCGTTGATGTTATCAGTAGCTAAGTTTTGAGGCAAACCTTATATTTTCAGGAAACCCTCTCAGATATTGATAGGTATCAGTGAATTAAATACTCCACACTTAGTTAATTATCCCTTGCTAAGACTTAAATAATTTTCATGTATTTTCAGCTATCCACTATGTCCAAAAGAAGGAAACATTTTACCAAAAAAATTACACTAACAGTTGCAATCTATCTCATGTAATGTAAGATTCTCAATTTTCAACAACTAATTGAAAATATTTCAAGAGGCTGCTCTGTCAAAACAGTTCAACATTCAGCAGTTCCTATTGAATGTCTTCCAGATTGCCAGTTCAAACATTTTAATTTTTCAACTCATTAATGCACCAAATTAGATAAAGTATTTAGACAAACTGTAATCAGCTAAAGGACTCCATTTAGTATTATTTCCTCCTTTGTTAGCTTTGATAAATGTAGATGTCATCAGCTTTTCTTCAAAGTTTTTCTTCTCAGACCACATAAGTAACACATAGGGCAGATACAGAGTATCAGAGGAGAAACATCTCATACACTAGGATTTCAGTAATAAATAGAATGTATTTGCTGTACGTTAAGCAAAACTGTATTGTCAGTACCTATTTTTGCCCTTTTGGTATATAGGGGAGGGGAATTATCTACTTAACACCCTTCAGTAAATACTGCATTGTCAGTATTTTACACTCGGAGGGTATCACAGATTTCTCTGCAGTTAAATAATAACATATATTTCTCTTACTTAAGCTTTTAGATGCCATAAACAAGGACTGTGGGGTACCACTAAGTCAGTTACAGGTAGATGGAGGAATGACCAATAACAAAGTCCTCATGCAACTCCAATCAGACATTCTCTGTATTCCAGTAGGTAAGATGAAATTACAACTCCTATTTGCTTTGTAAAGCTGAAAAAAACATTGGTTTGTCTTGGCTAATGAGGGCAAATAGGATGGCTTGCTTTATTTTTGCTACTGATTGAGAACGTTGAGGGGAGGGTTGCATCACAATTTTCACATCGTGCATCCAGTTTTGAGATTCACTTTCGTAGAGAATTGCTGACTTATTTCTTGTGTTCGAATATTACAACACTATGATGGTGTTGAACTTTAAAGTTGTCACATCAATTTTTAAACATCTGACAATTCTAAAATCAGTGAAATTAATGCTCTCCTGCAACATGTTGGCCCTAAGAATATTGCTAAGAAATAAAACAGAACTTTGCACCCCCACTGGTCATTCTGCTTTTGCATTTCAGCAAATAGCAAACACCCTTTTTTCTGTTCCCTTTGCTTGCACAAACCTTTGATTACGTTTGCAATTTGAAAGAAGACCCACAAAACATATTGTGCATTCTGTTTCCTCCCATAGCAGCAATGAAGAAGGGAGTAGAGCTTACAACAAAAGCGTGAATCTTGCAACCAGTTTTCTTGCTATGCATAATATGAAATACAAACCCAAATGTGTTGCTCCTCTCTGAGGCAAATGAAAGTTTACAATACCATTATTCTGGTCCAGTAGCGGTGTAGCCATTTTAGAAATTAGTTTTCACAGAAGCCCCCTAGTATAATAAAAAAGGGATTTCAGTTTTCAAGGATGTGTTTTCTCTAGAGCTCTTTAAAGACCTCACTTGAAACCTGGAGCGTTTCAGCATCAGTGGGAAGGGTGCATCTTTCTGAAGACAGGTTTTAACACCTGTAGCAGATCCCAAGTTGCTAAGTATTGTAAGCTGTACATTAATTTTCTTGAGGATGCAGTATGTCACTGCACATCAGGACATTGCACAGTAACGTCAGCATATTATACATCTCTGTCTATACTGAAGACTGATAATTTGCTGCATAAATGTAATAATCTGCCTAATATGCAGCTTCTAGAAAATAATTTAGAAAAACATTGTGTTGTCTGTTACGCATAAATGTGAGAAACTTCAGTGGAAAGTTTTTAACTCTAGAGGTATTATAGCTTGCCTTTAATAATACGTAATACACAAGGTTCATGCTATCAGTGCAGAGCCATAGTTCATAGCAGATGAAATGATACGATTGATAGCAGATGAAATGATGATCAATTTTAAAGGATCCTCTGCCTTAAGCAGAGAAGCAGGCACTTCTGGAGTTAATGGAGCAGATTTAGCATTGATATCTTGGGGGTGGAATGGTCATATATATGTATGTATCTGTGGAAGACAAACAAACTAGTAACTACAGCAATGTGTGGCCTGTTTTAAGATGCCTTTTCTTAATATAAATGCTTTTAGTAACACAATATCTAGAACATGGGAACAAGACTGGTAACTTAGCCAGTGATCACTGCTTTGAGAAAGGGAGGGAGAAGATAAAAAGATAGTGTATTATTAACAGGAGCACTCTAATGAAACTGTCAGTTGAGGTCAGCAGCCCTGCACATGGTGTGAAAATGGGCAATTGGATGATTCAGTCTTGAAGAAAGTAGTGATCTGAGATATTTCAAAGTGCTGGATGACTTTGGATGAAGTTAGCCTCATGACTGTGTGAATTGTAATAAAATGAGGCTTGCAGTTGGTAAACTTAAAGGAAGCATATAGCAGCTCTGTCATTCTAGATATATATGTTTATCTTCAGTTCTGATGTCATCAAGGTGACTTTCATTAAAAGTCTTCATGGCTTTCTCTGTGATTTCCTTCAGTAAAGCCATCAATGCCTGAAACAACAGCTTTAGGAGCTGCTATGGCAGCAGGAGCTGCAGAAGGAGTTGGAATTTGGAGTCTGAATCCTGGAGATTTGACAGCAGTGACATGTGAACGATTTGAACCACAGATCAACCCAGAGGGTAAAACCCTTTCATATTACCTAAGAAGTCACAAACTTAATGTTCTATGTCCAGCAGATCGTGTTATTTCTTTGTTGTAGTCTAACATACTGATATAAAACCAGCTATATGTGAATATCCTCACAAATGTTGAAGATGAGCTTTTTTGTAGTGTTTGGTTTAGAGAAAAGTGCATTTCAGTTGCTGTTATGTCCATTTATTGACTAGTAAGATTGGAAAATGGTTAAAATGACATAACTCCACAGGGGAATGTGTTGGGGTTTTTTTCTTTCTTCATTTTGAAAGAAGCTTGGCACTGGGCATTGGAGTTAGTAGCTTTTGATTTATAGCAAGTAGAATCAAAGAAATCTTGAAAGTTTTTATGGAGAAAAATATCTCCTAAGGCTCCTATGCATTTGGGTTTTTTTTTACAGATATAGACAGCACAGAAGACTGACTAGTTTTGGGACACTTTTCTTTTGGCTTTAAAAAGCCTACATTAATCATTATTTTTTAGCTATCTTCTTCATCAGTTCTTAAGTGCTTCTAGAGATGGAAAGCATGTACTTGACATAATTAATCCGTGTTCAAGACAAATGCATTTTTGTCTTTTCAATTATTTCTTAACATCTAGTACAGAATTTTGTCTTACCATTGATTATAATTACTGCTATAATCCCTACTTCAAGACAGTATTTTCAACACAGAAGGGTTTCTACATGAATAGCAATTGGTTCATTTTGTCCTACTTGTAAATCTTCTTATTGATGAAAATGCAGAAAATTGGTTTTGAGGTTTATTTCTCCTTACTGTGCATAACTGTGGGGTTTTGGGTTGTTTTGGTTTTTTTATTCATTATTGTTCTAAGCAGACAAACTATACTGGGCAAAAGAGTGGAAAGCTAATATTGTAGTCTTTGATTCTTAAATACGTCTAGCTGTATTTATATGCATTGAGAGGCTTTTTTGTTTGCTGATTTCTCAATTTCAGAAAGCGAGTTTCGCTTTGCCAGATGGAAGAAAGCTGTGATGAAATCTATGGACTGGGCGACATCTGACATTTCTTCAAATGGTAAATCAGAAATGAATGCTAGTCAAGTGTTATTAATTAGCCTGTTAACCTAGGTACTCAATCTTGAGTTCAGTGACCTTTTCTGTTCATACCATCTCTATGGTATTTTTGGACTATTCCAGTGATTTAGAAATTATTACTTAAAACCACTGTGCAAACAAAGCTGGAAAATAGATAGGTAGGTCTTCCCCTTGAAAGGAGAGCACAAGCAGTATCTTGTAGGGCTCTGAAAACAGAGGACATGAAATCAAGACTAACTGCAGGTTTTGCAGAATGGCATTGATTGAGAAAAGAAAAAAAAGTCTGACCTAAAAGAAGAGATGCAGCACAATTCTAAGACAGGGCAGGGGTTCTGTAAACTTTCTTACGCTTTAATGTCATGTTGCAAAGGAGAAAAGGTTCATCCTGTGATTTTTCTTGCTACATCCTGCCTTTATTATTTGCTGTGTAGGAAGGAGGATTTTGATGATAGCCAAAATCTGTTAGACCCACAAGGGCTAAGAGCAAGAAGTTGTCATAAAGTGAAGAATTGCATAGACCTATTGTTCACATACAGAGAATATACCAGACACTTTTGAGGGACTGAACAAGTTCTTTCTTTGGAAGTAGATGGGTTTTCATCTGTCAGGTTTGAATTAACTAAAACCTGCAGTCTTCTATTGTCTGTAATTTGAATTCATATTTCAGCAGTATTTCAGGGTAAGATTTTTGTCCTGAATCATCCTACAGCACATCCTACAAAGCCCATTTATGGGCTTTATCTTAATTTCATTTCCCTTTTGTTGGAAAAATTGTTAGAATGAAAAGTATTAAGTAAAGAATCCTCAAAATGTAAACTCCCACCACAATGCAGCCCTCATGCTGCATGAAGTCTCTTTCTTTATTCTTGAAAGCTAAAGGTAAAATTTTCCTTTCACCATCCTGTATGTTACGTATTTTATTTAACACCATGGGAAATGTTATTTTCCTTAGTTCTTGCTTTGAAACTGTCTTCTGCTTGCTAGGAGTATTTAAGATTGAAGACTACTAAAATGCACTCAACCTAGGTACTGCTAACAGTGGAATTTGGGTTTCAGCTTTTATACTGAGAGACTGTTTTGAATTATTGTGGGGGGTATAAATAATCCTTCTTATTTTTTCTGCAAATGTCACTACGTTTATTACTTTTTGCTGTTCACATGATTTTTAAGTCATACATTGCAATTTATATATATATATATTTCTCTTTTGACTTGCTTGACTGGATACACCCTACCCTGGATGTCATCAGGTGACACTAGTATCTTCTGTAGTCTGCCTTTGGGTCTTTATATTATGAGTAGCATGATAATATTAATCGGAGCAAAGTACATCTCAGGTTAGTTATTGTTTGAACTAGAACACTTTAAAAGCTATCTACACTAGATTAAGTGTTGGGGGATTTTGTATTCCATCTGTTTATTTTTAGCAAAAATGATTGATGCTTTTTGTTGTTCATGCACACGAATGTTTGAAGGTGTGAATTAGACACCTGCGGGAACCAAGTGAATGCTGAATTCATCCTCATGTGCCATGAAATTCTTAGTTGTTAGATGCACATGAAACCTTGAACTCTCCCTTCCCTTTGTCTAGCTATGTGGTCTGTACACAGTTTGTAAAAGGCATATAGGTTGGAGCAGGGTTTTGCACTGCCTGAATTACAGTGTGCATTGCAGTTAGAATAAGGTTCCATCCTTTATCCTGTATTTCTTCTCATAACATTTAAAATCATTTTGAGGATCTTGTTCAAATACAATGAAGACTTTTCTTCTGTCCTTGAAAGGCTTCAAGTACCTCTTTCGTTTTTCTCGTCCCCTTGAAACTATTGTATGGCTAGAAATCTTCACCAACTAAATCTATACAATATACTTTTTGTACTTTGCTCTTGATGGATAAATGAATCATTTTGTGTAAAAAGAAGAGACCCTAGAAGGCCTATCTGCAAAACTGGGGAAAGGGACTGTGTGCATATGCAATGAAGATGCATCTTCAACCTGTTCATGTGTTTTATGTTAAAAGAAAATTCTTAAGATGGATGGCAGTGTTAGTTACTTATGCCAGAAGTAAGACATTTCATTAAGAAATTCTTATGGTAAGAAAAAAAAGTTTATATGGTGATGTCATTTGTTCTTTGTTGTTGTGTTTCGTAATTTCCTTAAAAATAAAATATGTTACAGTATAGTCATTGTTGCTGCTTAGTAAGCTTTTGGGGAATGGTTGTTTAGTTTTCTTTCTTTGTTTTGGTTTTGGTGGGATGGGTAGGGGAATGTTAATTAGACAATTGAGGACTCTAGCATGCTCCTGTGATGATGTGTTTGTATTTTGTTTCTACTCATTCAGCCTGAATTAACTGTGCAATTTTAATTTTCCTTGCATGGAAGAGACTGTCTGAGCTTGTAGGAGAACTAAAACCAAACTAAACAAATGCTAGGCAAAAATCAAGTTGAACAAATGGATTGACATTGGTTTACTAATTCTGGAATGCATTTGTGAATAAGAACAGTCTTGATTATGAAGAATAAAATAAAACCAGCTGTGAATAAGTGGGTAAATTTTTAACAAGCTGAACTTAGCAATTCAAATATTAATTCCAGGTCAGGGTCTTCACCACATGGAAGATAGATATTTAAAATAATATGAAGTTCAATGTTAAGTGGGCAGATAAGCAACTTAAATTTGGGGTTTATTGCTTTTGTAAAACAACTAATCAGTAACCTGCATATAAAATATCTAAACTTGCACTGCTGGAACATATAATTTATTTTTTTTTCCTCCCCTCCCTAAGCCAGTCAGTGCCTTTCTGACCCACAAGTGGAAAACATATTCATCTCAAGTCACTCTGGCCTTCAGAACCCATTTTTGCTGCTGTGTTCATATAACAGTAAATTGATAACAGTACATTGATATAAGATGTATATATAATTATTATAGACACCACTAGAGTTACTTTATATACCAATATATTGGTATATTATTTACATGGTAAGCTTGGGGACAGGAGAAGTAGCCAGAAATTTCCAGCTCTTGTTTTAAAAATTATGTCTAAAAAGGAATACCATCAGTGATGCTGTGTACAGGTTGTAGTTTTGCTTAGCTGTGTGTTAGGGTAGAACATGATAAATAGAATTTGTGTTGCTGGTTGGAGCAGGGCTGCTTCCCACTTAAATGTTTGCTTTGGTAAATATCCTTTTGCTTTTAAAAGCTGGATCTAACTGACCAGGCTTGCCTTCTAATTCAATACAGGAGCACCATTAATTAATTTGTTATTTTTTATCTTTTAATGAAACACTGGAACTCCAACGCAGTCATCAGTTTAGTAGGTTTGAGGATTGAATCTACGGAGGATTGAATTCATCCTTCATGTGCTGAAACAGCAGTAAGTCTTGCATGGCAACAGTGCTGTTGTTGAACATGTCTCTGTAGGGCAGGGCCACGAATTTACAGCTACTGAAATGTGAAGGAAAAATCTGCCATGGCAGAATAGAGAACACTAACATGGCAAAAACTCATTTACAGAATTGCTAAACTAACTGTCTTTTCATGCAGCACCTGATGACTGAAAATGAAGAATACTGGATTTCATGTTATTATTTCATAATTTCATCAAAATTGACTCATTTACTTGTACCTTATTTTATGATCTTTTTTCTTCTTCTCTCCCAGGGGAGAAATGGCCAATATTTTGTTTTATTTCACTGTTAAAGCAAGTTCTATGTAGCAACTGGAGTCCTTATGCTAATATTGTTAGGTTTTTCACACTAGTTTTGGAAGTGGACATGTAAGAGCTGTAGCTGCACCTTTTTGGAGGGCAGGAGTTAACTGAAAGTGATGCAATATTTTATTAGACTGAAAAGAAATGCCTTTGCATGCTTAAATTGACACTTCTCGAGGTGTAAGAGGGATTGGCTATATATGAGACCTTATGTGACATCTGGGGTAGAAGCTTCTTTGACTTTATTGTCACAGAACAAGGTGTCAGTGCTGATAATAATACTACATTCTGCTGGCTTGAATACCCTTTGGGGTTTTTTTTAAAGATTCTGTTCTTCCTTTTTAGTTTCTTGTGCTGTGATAGTTACTGCCAAATTGCATGGTAGTTTACATATAGGGATCACTATGCAGTTCCGCAGGTCCTTAGAATTGAAGTTACTGCATTCATAGAATCATAGAATGGTTCAGGTTGGAAGGGACCTTAAAGAAGCCTTAGCTGCAGTAACAGTTCCCAACTTTTGAAAAGCTGAGCTCATATTTAGGAAAAAATAAGCTTAGAATACCTTCCTTCAATTCTTGTACTTGTTAAAAATTTACCCACCTTAAGTGTATGGTCTCTTCTACTGTATTCACATCCCACACATGTAAGTGCTGGCTTATCTGACGTCACAAAATACATCTAATTTATAATTGCATTAATTGGGGAAAAAAAAATATTATACTGAATTCTTCTTACAGCTCAGCTGTGTTAGAGTGTTATTAATGTTTTAGAGTAAATTCTATGTTACTAATGCATGTTCTTTCTTGTTTAAGGTAATGGTAATTGAGACCACTAGCGGACTCTCTGGATGCAGCTGATTTTTTTTTTCTTTCTTTCTTTTTGTTTTGTTGTCTGAAGAGATTCCACCACCAGTGTGATTATACTGTTTGTATGACTAAATCCAGTCATGAATCTGTCTGTTGCCATTCTCTGAGTAACATCCCAGTGGTACACTGAAACATAAGTCTTCAGCCCTTCATTGCTCTGCTCCCTTCCCCATCAACTCCAACTGCACTGGAGGCCTTTGCTTCGACTATCTCACATCATCCTCTAAAATTTCACAAGACCTAGATTTGAGAAAGTAGGTACAACCAAACCCTGCAACTTGTGAGGTAATGTCAGATGTTTTGGTGTCCTTTCAGGGTTTTGGTTCTTTATACAGCGCTCTGCAGCAGGTTAATGATGCACTAAAGAACTTTGTAAACATCACAGCAATTCTTCCAGCTGCTGTGAGTTACCTTTCATATGTCTATGGTTGCCAAAGATTTTTCATTGCAGTGACCACTGGTCTGAAACACCTTCAGTGGCACAAACCTTTTAAACACTAGCTCAAAATGTGTTACCGGTAGCACAGTGCCACCAGTTTGGCAATGAAGAGGTTGCTGATGTGGTCCACAGACTACTGTTGAAATGATCGATTACAAAGTTTAAAAGCTTGGTTTGGCTTCTGTAGGTAGTCTGTTTGCCCATTACAAGTATTTAAGACAGTAGTTCCTGTAGCTGTTCCTTTAAAAGAGATAGGAGTAAATAGGTGTTTTGGTTAAGGCCATGTTTTACATTCTTCTGCTTTTCTATTAGTTGGAAAGACAAATTTTATACATCATGTTGATAGGACAGCTTCTTGGCCCTCAGCAACTAGTAACTTAAAACTACTCTGTACAATGCACTTTTCTTGACCAATACTGCATATATTCTGTCATCCTGCTTAAAGATATTTTTGTGACTATTCACTGAACTTTTGAAAGTTGAAGCTAACTTAGTTTTCCTTAAAGAGGGTCCACTCCAAATTAAATAACAGTGCTTTAGTTCTTGATCTCATTTAGTAATATCTCAGGGACCAAAATCTCCCTTTCACTTTCCACATCCATAGTTTTAACAGCAAGTTGTTGCAAAATTTGCTGGGACAACCCAAAGTGCACTTGACACCTGAAATGGGCCACTGGAATTGACAGGCATGACAACAGAGTTGCATCCCCTTTGAAACCTTTTGTCCTCCACAGGTAAAGGAGTGAGGCAATAAATCATTTTATCTTCAGCTTTCCTGTTTGTACCAACAGCATGAGAAATGCCAGCCTTACTGGTTAGGTCAGAGAAAATGTGTTCCTGTATAGTGTCATCAGATCAGTATAGAATGATAGCAAGGTTAAATGTGGGAACAACACAGAGAATTTCAAAAATGTGTTTAAATGCACTAGGAGTTAAAGGGAGCATTTCTGCATGTACATTTGTTCTTAAGGAGTTTTGTCTTTAAAAAAATAGTCTTTAGCAGAGTTCATTTTTCTTTGTTAAACTATGATTAGAGGCTTAGTTTTTAAAAAAGATGTTAAATATACGTGTGTCTGAAGCAATGGATTGCACAGAAGTTCTGGTCTGTATAATATATTTAATGTTAAATGCATAATTGCCTTTTATTACCAAGTGCAATGATATTTGAAAATGTGACTTTTAATTCAAAAGGTAGAGAAGGAACATTTTTCGTCCTGTGGTTGCATGTATCAATTCAACAGAAGGAATTTTCATGCACAGGTGAAAATGTAACATCTTCATTGAAACCCCGCATCTCCTGTAAATACTCAAACATGAGGTGT